CACCCTCAGAAGGCCTCCTTGGAGCAGTTTTCCAGCTGAATGGACCCATGTCTGTGTTCCCCAATGCAGTGCCATGCTTATATGAATTATACTCTATGTTAGTGTGTATGTCTGAGTTGTATATCAGGTCACCTTCTCCTTCTCCCCCTTCTCCCTCTACTCCACTGATTGCCAATAAAACTTTGTATTGAACTGACTCATTCTTTTACACATTATTTTCGGCATCTGAACTCATTAAGGGGTTGTTTTCTCCAACATCTCTGACTGTCCTACAGGCCTTCCTTTAGACATAAACCAGGTATCTAAACAAGGATTTAACCTGCTGGTAGACATACCTATGCTGGGGGAGCATGGTTCTGTGACTTTAGTCACAGAAAGCAAGAATTTACAGGGGATCCCACGTCCTTCCTTATGCCAGAGAACGGTCCTAAAACAGGCTCTCATGGAACCCAGGCTGGGAAACACCCATGATAGTAGTCAGCCAGTCATTCAATAAGTATTTATTAAGTACCTACTTGTTTCAGGCATTATGCTGAGCTCTAGGGATACAAACTGAACCCATGACATTCTTTCTGTGGTCTTGATGAAAATGTGTGAAAAACTGGTTCCATAGAAAAACAACCATCCTTGCAGTGAAAAACACAGTGCTATAACAATCACAAAAAACTCCCTTCTAAGAAAACAAAATGCAATATTGCTCACTAAAGGAAAACTAGAAAGGCAATGGAACAGATAGAGAGCTGGTTGCAGAAGCAAGAAGACTTGAGCTCAAATCCCACCTTTGACACAATTGGCTATGTGACCCTGGACAAATGACAGAACTATATCGATGAAGGGAATTTCCTTGTTATGAGTTCCCTTCAATGATGAAATCCCGTATCTGGACCACAGAAAAAAAGCCCATAATATTTATATGACCTCTACTTTGGGATTACTCCCTCATCTAACACTGGCATGTTAGGTCCCCAAAGGTTAGCTACTACTTCAAGTTCTGAGGGTAATTAATCCTACTACCATAGTTCATGAGTCCCCATCGGCAAGCAGGTTTAATTATCATTTAGTAAAGGCATTTACAAAGATTACAGAGTAAGAGCAGTTGCTACAAAATATCCCTCTCACCCCAAAAAGTCTGTGATACTGTCCCATAAATACATACAGCCTCCATGAGATTTCACTCAAACTTGAGTGCAATGGTCCTGAGACACACAATTGGGTAAATATGTGTCAAAGGTAACTCACAATTCCCAGTACTGTTGGGCCTGGAAATTCTCTCCGTGTAATGTACTCACCTAGCTACTCCTGGAGGCAGCATCACTGTGAGGCAGACTGCTTAGCTGGCTCTCACGATGTGCCCCTTTCTGGAATCCCTAGCCAGCTGTCTTCCGTGTGGTATGGGATCATACTGCTTTCTCCTTCGGCGGACTCTCTGAATCTTTATCTGTCTGGAGTATATATATATATATGTCTCTGCTACCTCCTGGATACAACCTCTCCTACTGGTGTGGTAGTTTTGATGACATAGTCAAAGTCGGGAAAAAGAAAGACAATCATCTCATTGCCCTTTCTGCCCTCTGTGCTGGGGCAAGGATCTTCTTCCACAACTGCTTCCAACTTTGTTATTGGACTGGAAATCCAAAAATTCACATAGCTATTTAAAGCAACCCAGAGGTGGAGCTAACTTGCTTGTTCAGCCAATTCTGCTATTCCCTTCTTCACTCAATTAGAGAAGAGTTTGTATTTAAAAAGAGGATCATGGAATAGATGCCGTGTTTAAATATATCAAAACCTCATTGTGTGTGACTACATCTTTATCAACTGAGATGGGGGAGGGAACTCCGTTTATATTTATCAAGGTCAAATGTTCCAGGTAAGATCATTTATCTTGAATTGGAAAAGACTTACAAAGGTCATCTAGTTCCACTCCTGTTTTACAGATGAAGAAATGAAGGCCCAGAGAGGTTAAGTGACTTGCCTAAGGTCACACAGGTAGAAAAGAACAGAGCTAAAATATGAACACAGGTCCTCTGGTTACAAATCCTGACCTTCTTTCTATTACACTAGGCCCCCTAATATTCATTAATTCATCAAATATTTAATGGCAACAAACTATGTGTGAGGCCATGTATTAAGAGAATAAGAATGTGAAAAAGACATGGTCCCTGCCCACAAGGAGTTTATAGTCCATTAGAGGAGATATGTCCAGCAGGTGAGATAAGACAAGAATAATACACATGTGATATAGTCTGGTAAATACATCAGTTGCAAAGTGCTGAGTGTTCGACAAAGGTAGAAATCACTTCTAATTGGAAAAAAGCCATTCTTGGCATAAAGAGGGTCATGAACACAGGTAGTCTCTATTCACCTCCGATGTCATCAGGTTTATCATTTCCTATAGGACTGTAATATTCCATCAAAATAATATTTATGAAGTACTTACTAAGTGTCAGGCACTGCGCTAAGAGTTTTACAATTATTATCATTCATCCTCACAACAACCCAACCCTGGGAGGTAGATGCTATTATTATCCACATTTTATAGATGACAAAATTAAGGCAGAGGCCAAGAGACATGCCCAGGGTCACACATTATATTGAGTTACAATTTAATTAACCATTCCTCAATTGATTGACATCTATTTATTTTGTTTCTAATTCTTTATTATCACAACTGCTATGAATACTTTGGTGTATATGGAATCTTACTTTTTCTCAATGACCTTTTTCGGGTATATGACTAACAATGAAATCTCTGGGTCTAGTCATATACATAATTCCAAACTGCCTTCCATAGTGGTTGCATTAATTCCCAACTTCACTAATAAGGCATTAGTGTGCATCTTTCCACGAGACATATTTAGAGAGCAACAAATAGTCCAATTTGGCTATAGAGTATCATTCATAGTAGCTACAACAAAGAACAGCAAAAGGAGGAAGAGGTGAGAGTATAAATTGGAAGGCATCAATAACACCCTGGGTGAAAGAGTCAGGATCCCAAAAGATCTTGATAAGGTGGAGTATTGAAACTAATTAGATGAAATTCAGTAGGGAGAAATGAAAAAATCTACACTTGGATTCAAATAATTTTACAATTTTAAGATGGAAGAGGTCAGATCTAATCTGGAGTATTGTGTTTCTTGGCACCACAGTTCAAGACAGACACTAGTAAAATGGAGAGCATCCAACAGAAGTCAACCAGCTTATCAATTACCGTCTTTAGCTGCAGGGCCCAGAACTGAACACAGAATTTGGAGTCAGAAGGCTTGAGTTTGAGTAGTGATTTTACTGTTTACCCATGTCAAATTAAAAATCTCTGCATTGTGTTTAGAGGGTTAATATTTATTAGTCATGTGTTGTCATTTAATCTCTTTGGACCTAATTTTCTTCACCTGTAAAATAAAGGGATTGGATTAGATCACAGAATAACAGAATTTTCTAGTTTTAAAGAGACTTAGTGGCCATCAAGTTCAACTGATATCCCAAAAAAGGAATCCTCATTATGATATATCTGGCAAGGATGACTTGAGGATAGGATAGATTTTAGTATATTTTTAGGGATAGGGGAAGTAGTCAAGAAGCGATTGAAAATGGATGAGGAGGGAGAATAGTTGACAGAACACCTTCCTAGAAGACACAATAGGTAACATCAAGTACATTGAGTGAGAGACTTAAACCTTGGCAAGGCCAATCTGCTCTTCTCAGTGGAGCAAAGGATAGGTGAAAACAAAGGAGTTTTAAGGTATGGAAGCAGGGAGACACGAAAAATCAATGGCCTTAATTTCAGTAAGAATGAAATAAACTGTGGAAGAAAATGGAAAGGATCAAGTGGAGCTGGGAAATTGAGGTCTGGGAGTCGCTAGGATCAGTGTGACAGAAATCCAACAAGGGATGAATAAAGGTCTTCACAGTGGTGAGGACTCAGTTGAGAAAAGATAGCTTGAATTTTTGGTAGATTCAGTCATACTGTTTCCTAACTTCCAACCCTATAATTCGAGAATAGAAGCAGGGATGATAAATGGATGACGTGGAGGATTGACAATAGAAAGATATGAAGCTGATTATATCTTATCTTTTATCCATTCTGGTTCTAACAGCAGGGAAGAATTTTCAAAATATCCAAGTATGATCATAGTTATTAAGAATAAATCCCTCTTTTTATAGCCCTTTATATTTTAAAAAGCACTTTTACGTAAATGGCAAATTGCAAATTGTCATTAACAAACACATGTTGCACTTTGGGATGCATTACAATCCAATATATTGATTCCAGCAGGCATAATGTACTCTATGATTCAGAACTAAATGTAGTCATGTTTAATGAATCAAGGGTTTGTAGCACTAGATATAGACTATTGCCCCCCAAAAGACCATAAATATGTTTCTTCCTGGAAAGAACATGGAAAGGGGAAAAAAAAAAGCAAATAAGGGTATACTGCAGCTAAAAAAATTCAACTGGATATATATTGATTTTTAGAGGAAGGGAGAGAAAAAGAGAAATATGACATATAGAAAACTTTGGGGGAAATTTAATTTGCTTTCTCCAGATGGTCTACTGCCTATTTCCATTAATGATTTTTGTAATACACTGCTAGCTACTATGTGAAAATTTCTGTAAAGTTTATCCAGTCCAAATATCTACTTGGGATGTTTTGAATATAGAGACAACATGAATTCTCAAGATTTCTTCCACTATAGCAATTCCACCTTTGATTTTGAGAGAGCTAAGCTATTTAAGTTGAATAATTTATAGGCTAATGGCCAGTATACAATTCTCTTTAAATGGAAATTAAGGAGCTTCTCCAATTGCTTCTCAGTGGAAGGAACCTTTTTTTTTTATTTTCCTCACATACCAAATCTAGTCTTCTTCTTTTACAATGAATAGAATTTAAGTATTTAAAGGAAAGTAAAGTCAAAAGATGACAGAGTGGAGAAAAAAAGAAAACAGGTACACTTGAGGGGAAATCATGTGGAAAAATTTAGCCAAAAAAGAATTCTACAATGAATTCAGTAAACATTTCTGTTTAATATACCTAAGAACCAAATTGCACATATTAAATTTACATTTTTCTTCACTAAATACATACACTCAAAGCCAAGCAGGTCAACCTCAATTTGAAAATCTCCTATTACTTTCAGAATGTGGAAAAATGCATACAATTACATAAAAACATTCAATTGATAAGTTTTAGAATCTGGGCTAATCAGGTGCTTTCCATACAACAGTTCAACATTTTAAAAGTGTTCAATTAAAATTCAAGCATACCACCTTATTCAGTTCTTTCCTAGAAATTAACATAACTTAGCACAAACTTTTAAATTAAATGTTGAAAAATACTAAAGGAAGTCTTCCATAAACCTATCCAGATTATACTTCAATTTCTGATTGTTTCTCATGCCTTAGATTATTAGTCTCTGTTGCTTTCTTTGTTCTTGGATTGAAGATTAAAAAAAAAGTTTCTGATTAGATTTTCCAAATTAAACTGCAATCACTTCTTTAAGGGTTTTTAAAATAATGTTTTATGAATAAATGCTTTTCAGATTAAAATGGCCATGGTCCATCCCTATCATATATTAATCTCTCACTAATTTTTTGTCCCTAACTACTTTGTTTCAGTTTTCCTATTAATAAAGTTCCAATAATTCAAAAAATATTTTAATAGTATTTAAACAGATGTTTAATGATTTAAAAAAACTACATATCATAGATATTTAACATTTATTATAATGGCCATTTCCACTGGTTGGCTGGCGGTTCTTCCACTAAAGGTTCCCAGGGTTTCCATGTCAACATTTTTCTTGCCAGTGATAATTCATTTTCAGCCTATTAATAAAATAAGGGGAGAAAAGGTGACATTGTGAACACACTGTTCAATTTACATTTATTACTATTAATAGATTCTATTTCAATTGCTACAGTTACCACCTTTCAGGCGAGTCAGAAAATGTTAAAAGCCAGAAGATGGCACCAAGTTCAACCTCTTAACTGAATCATGTTCTAACATTAGATAATGACGACTAACACTTCAGGCCAACTTGAACAAATAAAAAAGGTACCTTCTAAAACCTGCAATGTTTATAGCATTCCTGAATTTAGTCAAAAGCAAAATTTTCCAAATAAGTTTTCTGTTTTAAAACCATTTTCTTATTTAGTTTACTGTATACAGTGACACCTTATTAAAAATTAAGAATATAAAGTGAGATAATTAAAATAAAAATCAGCGGTCTTACTTTTTCATCATTTTCCTCTAACAATGAAACTCATTTGTAATGAATAAAATCTACACTGACACCTCAACAACTGGGATTCAGAAATCCAGTATTTCCTTGGCCAACCCAGAAGACACAACACGTCCCACTTACATCTACAGCTGCAAAAATGCAGCCAGGCTTTGAAGACTTTAGCGACACACATAAAGGTCAAAAAAATGCTTGTTTTCTTTCCAGGTTAAGGTGAGCTAAAGTTTTGGGTTATAATATGACATCTTTGTTTTTTCATCTGAAACATCAACGTCACATCTCACCTTTGAATCCAGAAAGAGAAAAAACACCAATAACAGAAGGTAAAACTTTCATCTACCCTACACTCAAATATACAATACAATAACTTTGTTTTAGCTTTCTTAGTGGGCCACTTTCTCTCTTCCTTTCCCAACTACTAAGGCAAATAAATAGTCAGCATTTTAAGTATTCAAATATTTTAAGCATTCAAGTAGTTTTGGTCATCCTTACCTGAAGAATCACCTCTTCTAGCTGGCCGGCCTGAAGCTTATCCTCTAGTTTCTGAAGATCTGTTTCCTATAATATCAAATAAAAGGCAAAAATAGGATTTTAAATGTTGAGACCCAATATTTGAATATCTGTAAATCATACATTAGCAAAATTTACATTTAAAAAATATTCATTATAATTATGCTACTTAAATCTTTCAGGATCTGACCAAATAAGCTCTTCTAAGTATCATTCTCTCTACTATTTCAGTGAATTTTCTCATAAGTAAAATACCTGATATGTTTTAAGATTACATGCTAATATACATATGACAGAACTTGGAAACTTCATTTTATATTTCTAAAATAAAAATTTTAAGGATCTCACTAGTCTATCATTAGACATAATTCATTCCTCTGCTGAAAAAATTGGCATAGTTCATAACAAACTTTTCAGAAAGATTCCAAGAAATATTCTAGTACAATATAATGTTAGAATGGAAAAGACAATGAATTTTAAATTAGAGAATTTGGATTACCTATGTAATCCTAAGCAAGTGACCACTTCTCTGGGCCTCAATTTCTGATCTGTTAAATGAGTGGACCAAATAACAACTAACGTCTCGTCCACCTCTAAATTCTGTGATCTTGGGACATCCTTGGAAGATTTTTAGCAAAATTCCCCAGACACCTGTGCTTGTCTTTGTGCTATCCTTTTGATCAATGATTTGAATAAAGGCCTAGATTACATCCTTAGTAAATGTGCAGATGACATAAAGCTGAAGATAGCTGACACAATGGATGGCAGTTAAGACTCCAAAACGATTCTTAGATAGAGTTCTGGTCCAAATTGAGTGAAATGAGATTTAGTAGGGATAAATATAAAGTTTTACACTTTGGATTTTAAAAAAAACTGAAAAACACGGGACAGGGAAGATACAGCAAAGATAATAGTTCTTCTGAAAAAGATTTGTAGATTTTAGTGAAATATAAACTGATAGGAGCCATGTTTTAGTAAAAAGTGGTAAAAACAAAGGAAGGAAGTTGCAAATAGATAAAGGGAGCCACAGAAGTCAGGCTCCAAACATGGGGAACAGCCCAGGGCTGGGAGATGAAGTATCCTATTCATGCAACAGCCAGGACGCTAGTGTCACCGAATCAAAGAGTATGTGTTGGAAATAAGATATAAGAAGACTGGAAAGAGAGAAGGTAGCTAGCTTATGAAGGGCTCTGAATGTCAAACAGAGCATATTGCATTTGAACCTGGAGGCAATAGGGAGCTACTGGAGTTTACTGAGTTGGGGGAATGGGGATATGTGACATGATCAGACCTGCATTTTAGGAAAATCACTTTAGTGGCTGAATGGAGGATGGATTAGAGTGGGGAGAGACCTAAGGCAGGCAGACCCACCAATACACTATTACAAGAGAACAGGGGTGAGGTGATGAGGGCCTGCACCAGTCATGGCAGTGTCAGAGGAGAGAAGAGGGGCATATTCAAGAGATATTGCAAAGGTGAAACTGACAGGCCTTGGCAACAGCTTGGACATGGAGGGTGAGAGGTAGTGAGGAATCCAGGATGATTCCTAGATTGTGTGCCTGAGGGGCTGGAAGACGGTGTTGCCCTTGAGGAAGGAAGAGGGGAGGAAAGTTTAGGAGGAAAGATAATGAATTTTATTTTGGACATATTGAGTTTAAAATCTACTTAACAACCAGTTCAAGATGTCTGAAAGGCAACTGGAGATTCAAGACTAGAAGTCATCAGAGAGACTGGGGCAGGATAGGCAGATTTGAGAATCACTGGCAAAGAGATGGTAATTAAATCCATGGTATGTTGTAAAGGGATTTTTTTTTTTAAAGATATGGATTGGAATAGGTGACTACTGAGGTGCTTCTTCCATCTCTGAAATTCTGTGACTCATTTCTTGTGGGTTTTGTAGCTAAGAAATTTTAGGTAACTATATTCCAATTCAATACCAAAATATTGGACACCTTGTGCGCACAGTATTACATTAGGCAGGTTCAGAGTCAAACCTCTCAGAAAAAAAGGATAACACATTTTGGCAAAATTTTATATCAGCAACAAAAGTATTTAAAATATTTTCTACTTGCATTCATTCATCACGCACCTTCCAGTTGTATATTTAAGGGGAAAACTTAGAGGGAAGACAAACTGTACAGTATAGAGAAAAAAGAAAATTAAAAAAGTAAAGAAAAGGACAAGTAGTAACAGGCAGAAATAGAAGAATAGGGAAAATAGTCAAAGTGCTAGGGAGAATCCTAAGCAACAGATAAATGCAGGAATGACAGAAAAAATGACAATGGATAAGGAAGGAGAATAAACATAATCTTTGCTCACAGAATGCACTGGGCCCCACAAACTTGATGGAATAAAACAGACCAGCTACTTACCTCTTTTACCACATTCAGCCTTTCATTTGTAATCTGTTCTGTGTACTTTCTATAGGCCGCATTTGAGGGCATAAACTCAAGAGCATCAAGAATCTTCGAATATAATAATCTTAGCCGCTGAAAAGACAGTTGCATAAACTTTCTAGTTTAAAATAATATTAAAAACTATGGGCAATACTTTTAAAAAATAATACTGAAATTACTAATAACAACAACAAACACTTTATACTAACTCAAATCCAGAGTGGAGTGGAGTATTCCATCACAGTCATATACTACAACTTGTTTAGCCATTCCCCAATTGATGGGCATCCCCTCAATTTCCAGTTCTTTGCCACCACAAAGAGAGCTGCTATAAATATTTTAAAACATACAGGTTCTTTTCCTTTTTCCCTGATCACCTTGGGAAAGACCTCATAGTGGTATTGCTGGGTCAAAGGATATAACCAGTTTTATAATTCTTTGGGCATAATTTCAGATTGCTCTCCAAAATGGTTGGATCAGTTTACAGTTCCACCAACAGTGTATTAGTGTCTCAATTTCTTCACATCCCCTCCAACATTCATCATCTTTCCCTTCTATCATTTTAGCCAATCTGATAGGTATGAGATCTCTCAGTCATTTTAACTTGCATGTCTCTGATCAATAATGATTTAGAATATATTTTATATGACTATATATAGCTTTGATTTCTTCATCTAAAAACTGCCTATTCACATCCTTTGACTATCGACTGAAGAATGACTCATATCCTTATACATTTGATAAAGGTTTCTATATATTTAAGATTTGTGACCTTTATCTGAGGAACTATCTACAATTTTTTTCCCTCAATTTTCAGATCCTAATTCTAATCTTGGCTACATTGGTTTTATTTACACAAAAACTTTTCAATTTAATCTAATCAAAACTATCTATTTTACATCCCTCAGTGCTCTCCATTTCTTGTTCATTCATAAATTCTTCTCCTATCCATAAGTCTGACAGGTAATATGTTCCATGTTCTCCTAATTTTCTTATGATATCTCCCTTTATACCTAGTTCATGTATCCATTCTGACCTTATCTTGGTAAAGGATATAAGATATTGGTCTATAGGCAATTTCTGTCAGACTGTTTTCCAATTTTCCCAACAATTTTTACCGAATAGTGAATTCTCCCAAAAGCTTAAATCTTTACATTTGTCAAAAACAAGGGTAATATAATGATTTACTATTGTGTATTGTATAGACATACCCTGTTTCACTGATTCGCCTTTCTATTTCTTAGCCAGTACCAGATAATTTTGATAATTTTTGCCTTATAATTTATTGATATTGCTAAACTTTCTTCCTTGACACCTTTTAATTAATTCCTTTGATACTGTTGACCTTATGTTCTTCCAAATGAATTTTGTTACTATTTTTTCTGCTCAGTACATAATTTTTTGATAGTTTAATTGGGATGTCATTGAATAAGTAGATTAGTTTAGGTAGAATTGTCATTCTTCTTATGGTGGGCTCTGCCCACCCATGAACAAGTAATAATATTAAATCTGACTTTATCTGTATAAAAAGTGTTTTGTAATTATGTTCATGTAGTTGCTGGGTTTGTCTTTGCAGGTATACTCCCAGGTATTTTAACTGTCTACAGTATAACTGTCCATGTCCATGGCTATTTTAAATGGAGTGTCTCTCTTTTTTTTTTTTAAAGGCAATTGGGGTTAAGTGACTTGCCCAGGGTCACACAGCTAGTAAGTGTCAAGTGTTGGGTCTGGGGCTGCATTTGAACTCAGGTCCTCCTGACTTCAGGGCCGGTGTTCTATCCACTGCACCACCTAGCTGCCCCTGGAGTGTCTCTTACTATCTCTTCTTACAGGGTTTTGTTGTTGATAAATAGAAATGCTGATGATTTATGTGGGTTTATTTTATATCCTGCTACTTTGCTTCAACTAACTTTTTAGTTGAATCTCTAGGATTTTCCAAGTATATCATCATATTGTCTACAAAAAGAGTTTTATTACCTCACTGCCTACTCTGAATTTTTCAATTTCTTTTTCTTTTCTTATTACTATTGCAAGTATTTCTAATACAATATTGAATAATACTGGTGATGATGGGCATGCTTGTTTCCCTCCCGATCTTACTGGGAAGGCTTCTAGCTTATCCCCATTACAAATAATGCTTGCTGATGGTTTTAGGTAGATGCTTCTTATCATTTTAAGGAAAAATCCATTTATACCCATGCCTGCAAGTGTTTTTAATAGGAATGAGTGTTGTATTTTGTTAAAAGCTTTTCTGCATCTACTGATATAATTGTATGACTTTTGTTGGTTTTGTTATTGAGATGATCAATTATGTTAATAATTTTCCTTATATTAAACCATCCCTGAATTCCTGGAATGACTTCCACTTGGTTGCAAATGTGGTTTCTCTTTAAAGAAGAAAGAAGGCTCTCCTCTTGGAATCTTGGTTGATTTAGAGACGGATATTAAAAGACCATGCGGGGAGCCTTTGGGGAGCTGGCATTACTGAGGTTTGAGAGAATTCCCATTTTCGTTCAGTTTATCTTTCTGACCCAGCACTGCTGCTCTGAAGAATGAAGAGGAACAAAGAGGAATACGAATGTACTTTTAGCAAATCACATCATTTTAATCTTAGTAGGGGTCATTTTATTTTTACTTTATTTTACGGTCCATAAATGTTTTATTGCAAACCAATCCTGAGCCTGTGAAGAGTATCTGACTCAGAACACATTTTCTTTATACCCTAAAATCTGTATGTTTCTAAATAGCTTTGCTTCAGAGAATGAGGTATCCCTATTGTTTTCCAAGATTAATTTGTGCCTTTGATACCATCCCCTACTGTCTCCAATTATTTTGCTCCACCAATTATCATGAATCTTCAATCTCTTCTTCTCCAGTGTCTCATTCCCATCTCCCCAAACATGTTGTTTCTTTCAGCTTTAAAGGGGAAAAAAAAGGCCTCCCCTCTATCCTATCCCATCTCTTTGCCATTCAGAGGCAAACTTCTCCAAAAAAGTAGCCTATGATACCTACACAATCTGCTTCCTTACTACTATACTGAATCTGCTTTCAAAAAATCAATGTCCTAATTTTCCAAATCAAGTCTTTCTTAATTCTTATCTTCTGATTCTGCAATTTTTGACACTCCTTCCCCTTCTTCATATATTCTCTTCTCTTGGATTTAGAAAAACTAGACTGAATTTTGCATTTCACTACTTTATCTTCATTAGCTCCTCTTTCCTGACCTCTTAAGGTTGGTTTTTTCAGAGGTTCTGTTCTTGGCCCTGTCTTCTTTCATCCGTTAATCAACCAATTAACATTTCTACTTTCTCCTTTCAATCAATCAATAAGCCCAAGATCCCAGTGTGAGGAGCTGAGCTAAATTCATGGCATACAAAGACAAAAGCAAAAATGTCTGCACTTAAAGAGCTCACATTCTAACAGGATGACAACATGTACATATGTAAGCATAGGAAGAATATATATACATATATTCATTACACACACACACACACACACAATGAACACAAGGAAATTTTGGGAAAGAAAGTACCAGTAGCTCAGAGGATCAAGATATATTCTCCCTTGGAAATCTCATTAATTCTCTTGGTTTCGATGGTCGTCTCCACACTGCCTTGAGAGGTGGCATGGCACCCATGCATGGAATGCTGGACTTGGTGTCAGGAATATACAAGTTCTAATACTTATTAGCCATGTGAGCACAGACAAGTCACTTTAGCTCCCTGATAATATTATCTGTAGTACTATCTTTCAGGGTCATTGTGGGGCTCAAATAAGAATGTTATGTAAAATGAACTGCAAGCTTTAATGCATTATATGTCAGCTGGTATTATCACAAATGACTCCCAAATTTATATCTCCATATATATAATACTCTTTCTGCTGAACCTAGAACCCTATAAAAACATCTCCTTCAGATGTTTCACAGAATCTCAGTATGTCCAAAATCACGTTATTTTCCCACTCGATATGCTTCCCCTTTTAACTCCCCATTGCTGTTAGAGAGGTCACCAGTTACTTATGTTTGAAATCTTAACTGTAACTTTGATTTTTCCCTTTCTGCAATATCCAAACAGTTAAGAATGAATTACTGAAATAGCATCCTAATTAGTCTTCTCAACTCCATTTTTCCTACTTTAATCCAGCTTTTGCCAAATTAGCTTCCTTTAGGTACAAGCTTGGTAATTTTTTTTTGCTTAAAACCTTTCAATATTCTCTATTATCTACCAATTAACACCCAAAATCCTTAGCCCATTATTTAAGAGCCTTTATTATCTGGTACCACTCTACGTTCTGTACTCATCTCATATAACTCCTTTCTATATGTTATAGTTCAGCCAAACTCAACTACTTCCCAAGTCCTTAAGCACATCCCATTATATCCCACATCTGTGCCTTTGTTCATACTGTTCCCAATACCTGGAAAACCCTCTTAACTCTACCCCTCTCCATTTAACCTCAGCCTTTTGAAATCCAATGTTTTTTAAGGTACAATTAAAATTTCATCTAGAAGAAGGTTTCTCTCATCTTCCTTAGTCACTAATATTCTTTCTTCCTTCAGACCTTGATTAGCACTTGGCTTGTACCATCTCTTATGAATTTTTGTCATTTTGTATCATTGTCTGCGGATGTGTTTGATAACCCTACTTGACTGTGAGCTCCATTAAGCCAGGGCTAAATCTTAGCATTAATCTATCTTTCCCTAAGTGCTTTCCAGGGCAGCTAGGTGGCTCAGTGGACAGATTATCTGGCCTGGAGTCAAAAAGACTCATCTTTCTGAATTCAAATCCAGCCTCAGACACTCACTGGTTGTGTGACCCTGGGCAACTCACTTAATCCTGTATGCCTCAGTTTCCTCATCTGTAAAATAAGCTAGAGAAGGAAATGGCAAAGCACTCCAGTAACTGAGCCCAACCCCCCCCCCAAAAGGTGTCGAGAAGAATTGGACATAACTGAATTGACTAAACAACAACAAGAAGTGCTTTCTAGTGCTCAAAGAGTACACAAGCATCATGGCCTAGTAGACAGAATTCTAGACTTGGAGCAAAAGAAAGCTGAGTTGAAATCCTGCCTTTCTGGCACTTAAACAATATCAAGTCACAATCTCTGAGAACCTCAGTTTCTTCATCCATAAAAGGGATGACATTTGAGGAAAGTACTTTGAAAAAACTTAAAGTACTATACAATGCACAGTGTGTGATAAGTATTTGTTGAATAATTAAGACAATAAACAATCTACTGGAATTTAATAAAAATACTTCAAGTCCACTTTAAAAAAATTCTTATCTTCTCTGGTATAAATTGTTTTAAAATTTTATCGTTAGTAACAAAAACAGGAACTAGTATAGTTAATGTCATTCAATGAACAGACTATTATTAGTAAAATCAGTAACATAATTGTCTAATAAATTTATATGTACTTTCACCCCAACAATACTGGGCGGCAGATAATGCAAGATGGGAAAACAAAGATTCAGAAAGGTTAAACAACTCCCCCAAAGTAACCCATTTAGAAAGACTCAAATCCAAAATCTGAACCCAAGTCTCAAGATTCCATCACTTTAAAGGCTTAAAATCATTCAACGCTTCAGCTGCAACTACATGTCTGAGTTAGGATGACTTGAACTAGGGAGGCTTCCCAGGGGCTGACCCAGGCAACTACCACTAGCGTCCTATGGTGACCGCAACAGGGTTCCTGACACATGCAAGGCCACAGGAGCTTATTTCTACTTGAGGGCTGGGAAATACATAAAGAAAACTGACACGTACCTCCCGTGGGGTCTCACATACTGCCAGTCCAACGAGACCTGTGGTCTACAAAAACAAAACACTCTGGTCATTCCCGGTCTACTACCAGGGGAGGGGGAAGGAGAAAGGGAAGAGAAGGAGGAGGAGGGAGAGTGGAGAAGGAAGAAGAAAGGTGAGGAGGGAGAAAAAGGAGGATGGAAGGAGGGTGAAAGGAGAGGAAGAAAAGGGAGAAGGGTTAGTGGAGAGAGAGGGGGGAGAAGGGCAACGTTAAAGAGGGAGAAAAAGAGGGAGTTAGTGGGAGGAGGGACAGAAGAAAGGGAAGGACGGTACAGGAGGGGAGGAGGCAGTGAGGGGGAGGAGGGAGAAAAGGGAGAAGGACGAGGAGCAGAAGAGAGAGGGCAGTGGGGAGGAGGGAGGAGGGAGAGGAAGGGAGGGGAGGGGAGGAGCCCCAGGGATCGGGGCCGCTCGGGCGCCCGCGGCCCTACAGCACCTCAGCGAGCTCCCAGCCAAGCCTGCCCAGCTCCGAGCCTGAGGGAGCCTCTCGTGGCCTCGGTCTCCTCTCTGAGAAGACACGGAGCCAGCCCGCGATCCATCCCCGCCCCGCAGTCTCGACCACCCGGGCGTCATCCGCCCGATCACGGTCTGCGCCCCGTCTGACCTCCAAAGGGCCCCCTCACCTTCTTCAGCACCCCGGCCATGACAGCAAAGCAGCAGGCGTCGCCGCGCAGCACTCTGGGAGGGCGCTGCTCTCAGACCCGTTGAATCCACTACCGAGAATCCAGAGCCTACGGTCGCCCGTAGCAACCGAGCTTACGCTACAGGCCGGAGCGGATGGACCGAGAGGAGGTACCCTCCCCCTCCGTAAAAGGTTTGGGGCTTGGATGGAAGCTGGACGCACGCGCTCTGATTCCCGGGGCACCTAGTCTAGAGAGAGGCGCATGCGTACAAGGATCGTCGCCGAGCTTAAAAGAAAGGGGTAGATGCGCATGTGTGTGTATTCTCCAAGTCTCCTTTGCTTTGCTGTTATTTTATTAGAATGCCCTTGACCTGCTTCGGGTACGGAAGTTAAAAAGAACTCAGCAGGCAGCAAGATAGACAGCCTGTGATTGTAACTGGTTAGCTGTACGAACTTTAGCTGGTTTGTAAACTCACTAATAATATACGTGTATATTTACCAAAAATTCAAACACTAGATTTGGCGTCAGACTTCTTGTGTGACCTTGGGTGCCTTAACCTCCCTGGCCTCAGTTTCCCCAGTTGTCAAACTGGATTAGATTAGATTGGATTAGATGATCTTCAGCTCTAAATCTGGTGCAGTGGATAGAGCACCGGCCCGGATTCAGGAAAATCCGAGTTCAAATACGGCCTCAAACACTTAGCTGTGTGATCCTGGGCACATCACTTAACCCCTATTTGCCTCCATTCCTCATCTGTAAAATCCGGACACAGTGGAGAAGGAAATGGCAAACCACTGCAGTATCTTTGCCAAGAAACAGTCAGACACGACTGAATAATAACAAAGTTGAAATTTTGAATTCTGAAAAATTTGCATGGTTCTGGTTGTAATACTATTTTCTTTTAAGCCCTTGAAGCAAGATAGGAGGTGAGGGCATGAAGACTGCTGCAGTAACATTTTATCTCATTTCAAGCACTGGACTATGACACCCCATTTCCTCATAACTCCAATTGAAATTATACACTCCATCCATTTTCTTTGTTCTTTTCCATTCAAGCACTTTGCACTATTTATTATCGCCATAGGCCAAATGAGACAGTGCCTTGAAAATAATAGAAACTTAGTTACCTTTGGAGTGGCCTTTTTCCTTATGTCTCTTCCAGAGTACAGCAGGGACTGGGGGGTGGAGGGATTTTCCCCTTCCCCCATTGAGCTGAACAACTTGCTCACTAGGATACACCCATCCAAAAGGGGACACACCAGAGTTCTACTGCAAAGTTAGGTTGAATTGCAGAAAGCAACAGGTGGAGAGAGCTCAGTGCAGAGACTAGCTCAGAAGAGGTGCTGTGCCAGGGGAGTGTATCATAAGGACACCATGAAGAAAGACTTTGGAAAAAAGAGGTATGAGTTGTCTAAGCTACCTCAGTCCCCTATCCATGTGCCTCTCTATCTCAATTTCTCTACTCTACCTGTGTGCCTGTTGTCCCCACTTATGCTATGTGTATTTGTGGGAGAGCATACCTCACTTTTATGGTGACGTTGTTTTATGTTGTTGAGTTGTTTCAGTCGTATCCAACTCTCCCCATTGGGGGTTTTCTTGGCAAAGACACTATGGTGTTTTGCCATTTCCTTCCTCAGCTCATGTTACAGATGAGGAATTGAGGCAAACAGGGTAACTTGCCCAGGGTCATACCCTAGTAAGTTGTCTGAGGCCAAATTTGAACTCAAATCCTCCTGACTTCAGGGCCAGCACTCTGTCCACTGCACCACCTAGCTGTTACGGCTCTAGCTCTCATGATGCATTTTAATAAATGCCATTGCTTTGAGCTAATTGCGTCAACTGATAATGTATTAAAGGTGAACACATTGATAGTTGCTAGTAAGCCACAGAAGTGTAGACCCACAGAGTACCTTAGACCTGGAGTAGACATCCCTCTGGGGCTCCAACCTACCAATATGAGTTGGGGGGTGATACTCCAGAGGCAGTGCAAAAGTGCTAACAATGACCATTGCATTTGACTAGGGTTTTGCTACCACTCTGTAGTGTGTTAACAATGTTGTAATCGTTACATCCGTTGTTCTTTTGATTATACTTTCTTGACTCTTTACTTCATACAAATCAACATGTCTTTGAATTTTTTGTTCCATTCTTTATGAATAAGTGATATTTCATTACATTTATATACCATAATTTAACTATTCTTAAATTGTTGGCCCCATATTTTGTTTCCAGCTTTTTATTGCAAATAAAGCTGGCTATGAACATTTTTTGACACCTTCATCTTGCTATCAATGATCTGTTTGGCATAGAGTCCAAGTAGTAGTCACTGGGCCAAAAATTTTGTAATTTTTTTTTCTTGCAGAATTCCAATTTTTTTTTATTTTTCAGGAAAGGTCAATTCAATTCATAGTTCTACCAGCAGTGGATTACATGGATTAATGTGCCTGCCTTCCTACCACATCTCCAACAATGTTTTCCTACCTTTTGACGTCTTTCTTTGCTCTGGTAGCCATACCTAATGGTTGCTTTTGTTTTCATTTCTTTGATTATCATGGTTCCAAATAGTTTTAGTTATTTATGATAGCTTGTTTTTAAAAGAAGAAAAACAAGCTAAAAAAAAGAAAAAAACTTTTTTATATCCTTTGACAACTTATCTGTTGGGAAATGATTCTTAAGCTTATGCAATAGAAAAGCTCACTGGATTTGGAGTCTGAGCATCTAAGTTTGAATTCTACCCATTTCACTTACTGTTTATGTGACATCGGGCAAGTCATTTAACTTCTCTGGGCCTCAGTTTCCTTAACTGTAAAATGAACAAATTGGACTAGATGGCCTATGTGGTCCCTTTCAGCTCTAAATCTTTGATCCTATGATTTGAGTAAATTCCATATACATTATGGACATCACACTTTTATTGAGTTAGTTGTGGAAGGATTTAATAGAAACAATGGGTTTCCTTGCTTTACCTTTATCTTATCTGGAAAACAATCAGTGTTTTCCTTTTACAAATATTACTAGCTTTGGATTTTAGATAGATCCTTTTTTTCCTGTCCTGTTTTAGACATTGTGACAAGTATTTTCTTTATTTAGTGATATAATTTGTGATTTTGATATTTATTATTGATGTAATTTATGATATTTATGGTTTTCTTAATATTGAATTATCCCTGAATTCTGACTATCAATGAAACCTGGTCATAATGAATAATTTTTAATATGTTGTTTTAGCTTCTTTGATAATTTTTTTTTGCTTTAGTATTAATGATATTAATATGACTTGTTGCCTATAGATTTTATAATTCCTCATAGTATCAAGAGAACTGGAGGAAAGCTTCTAGCACATTGGGTGGCCCCTGCCATTATAGTAGGGCATGCATAGGAATGACACAGAGTGTACAAGAATGGATGAGTTGCAATCTGCATCATTGGAGGAAATACTTGTGTTGATGACATTAGTTCCATTGGAGTGCCGGAGTATTGATCTGTAGTTTTCTTTACTGTATCTCTCTCTGATTCCTGATTCGGGTACCAGTGCCATATTTATCTCATAGAAGAAATTTGTCAAGGTGTCTTCATCCTTTATTTTGTAAACAGTTTAAGTAGCCTGAGTTCTTTGTCTTAATTGGCTAGGATGGCAAAAGATAGGAATAGTCACCCTCCCAAACCTTTCCGTCTTCTAAAATTCTCTTTTGTAGGGACCACATCCTTCTAATAACCTAGGTTCACAATCTTGGTATCCTCCTTGAGTCCCCTCATTCAGCCCATCTTACACACAGCCAATCAGTTGCCAGATTTTAAAAATTTCTTTCAGAAGTGTCAAACACACTGTTCACGGAACACACACAACTCACAACATCATCCTATACACCCTGAACCAGATTAAAATGTAGTTCATACCTTACTTTAATGTGTTGATGTATTAATTTTAAATATATATTATATATATATATATATATATATATATATATATATATATATATATATATA